CAATTAACAAAATAAAATTAATATTTATGACATTTAATTTCTCGACAACAAATTTTATTTGACAAATTTTTCTCTATTTCCTTTATCCCCGTTCTACAATATATTCTAACAACTTCAAATATTTATATAAAAAAATTTCGCGCATTAATAGAGAACTAGGGTGTAAAAAAAATATTCTCACAATTATAAAATTTCGACAATTCCTATCGTTAAAAATATTAAATAAAAATTAATCATTCCGCTTAACAAATGAATAATTTCTCTACGGGAAATCCGAGACGCGCGTTTTCCCTTATTTTCCGAAAATTCTGCAAGATACTCCCGACTGTTCAACTGTGCAAGCACATGCTGTACACCGCAGATAGTTACATTCACGTGCGAATGCGTATTCATAGTTGGTCGCTTGTACGCCACCCCATGTACGAATCGTATCGCGCGTCACGTGATATTTATTGGATCCCTCAGTCGTGCTTGCGAAGACGGACACACACGTGCGTCTGTCACGCCGTCCCGGGCACACACCTCGAATATATAGGACGACGTCGCTAATTCAATTTCGACATATTCGATGTCATAATCTAACGTACGGCACGCATGATGTTATGCCGGAATTTCAACAGGGAAGTGGAAAATTGCAAATATTCCCGGATCTCGTTCGGGAGACTCTCCCGTCCGATATTGGAATCTCGCTATTAAATTAATGATCGCGAGCGCCCTCGATATCGACGAGGGATGATGATGCTGGGGTTCCTCGTTTTAAGGAGAAGCAGGCGAGATATTAGAGACGGGGTCCTGGTTTTCTCTAGATTGAAGATTACAAACTTGTAGCTCTGACAGAGAGAGAGAAAACCGGAGGAGATAAACTTAATTAATTATGAATGCAGGTACAGCGAATGAGACGCTTTCTGCTCCACGGCAAATGCGGGCGGTCGCATTGTGCCGTGTCCAAAGTGCGCGATGTTATTTCGCTCGTGGGACGTGGAACCGGAGAATGTACGACGATGTTTGTCGTGCTCTTAAGACGGCGCGACGGTTGGTTTCATTCCGCGCGTTGGCCGCATGCTGCGCCTCCTTTCATCTCTGCGAGAAGGCGTGCTTTGACTAATCTCTCTTTTCGGAATGGATCTTTCTTTGACGTAAAAAAAAAAAAAAAAAAAAAAATAGGAGGAAATATACCTTCCAAGACGTATCGACGGCGATTTTTATTGTTCCTTCTTCCCAGCGAAACTGCAAAACGCAGTTTTCGCGTCTTCGCCTCTTTATATATCTCCGTGTGTTTTTTATCTCTCTCTACACTTTTCTTCTCTCATCCCTCTTTTTTCTTTTCTCTTACAGCCCCGCGTTCAAATTCTCCAATGGTCTGCCCTCGCGCATTTATCGTACGAACTTTTTATTTCCTAACAAGCAGCGCAAAAGTCACGTACGCGCCAGGTTACGAAAGTCTGTACAATTCGGGGAAAATTGAACTCTATGCGCCGGTTTAGATAGCACGGGAGGGACTTTTCCGCTTAATGAAGGGTCGTCGAATCAAAATCCGAGGAAATTGGATCGAACGTGTGTAAAAGAGACTCCCCGTTAATGTGGTGCACGTTTTCAAGGAGGTCGGTTGCGCGCAATTATTTTCATTATACCCGCTCGAAATCGAATTTTAGTGCAAAAAATAGTAAGATAAAGTAAAAGAAATATACAACACGTTACACAGATATAATTCTATTCGACGAGGAAAAATTCGTAAGAAATACCAAAGATGTTAAAAATTATATATAAATTTCAAATTACTTACAGATATTTCAAGCAAGTTTTTTTTATTATTTAGCAATCTTAAAAATGGAAATGGAAAAATTAGAAATAAAAAAGGTAAAGATTAAACTTATGGAGACATATTTTATATTTATATTTTATATATATGTTTTTTTTTATATTTATACAATAAGTTATACATATATAATTTTATTTGATGAAGAAAAATTTGTATAGAGAGAAATACTAAAAATATTAATATTATAAATCCTCAAATTACTTACAGATATTTCAAGCAAGTTTTTTTATTATTTAGCAATCTTAAAAATGGAAATGGAAAAATTAGAAATAAAAAATTTTTTAAATAAAAAAGATAAAAATTAAACTTATGGAGACATATTTTACATTTATATTTTATAAAAATAGGAAAATTATAAATTAAAAAAAAGATAAAGATTAAAAACTTTATAAAGTACATATTTGATATTTATCCGTGGAAAAGAGATCATTTGTGTGTAATATATTGTTATTAGAGAACATTGCGATATATATCGCAATATCTTCGCGAGTGGATAGATGGATACATATTTCATATTTATATTTTATATTTATACAAGTTACATATACATATATAATTTTGTTTAATGAAGAAAAATTCGTACAGAGAGACATGCTAAAAATATTAATGTTATAAATCCTCAAAGTACTTATATAGATATTTCAAGCAATTTTTAATCATTAATCAATCTTAAAATAAATAAAAATAAGAAAATTATAAATAAAAAAAAAAGATTAAAAACTTTATAAAGACATATATGATATTTATCCGTGGAAAAGATATTATTTGTGTGTAATATATCGATATATATCGCAATATCTTCGCGAGTGGATATCAATCCCGAAACACTACAGCCGGATATCGTACTTTGTCGGACACGGGAACGGGAAGAATGTCGTACAGGTTGAAAAGGGGAAGTACAACATCACGGAAGGATTTGTGGCCCCTGTCTGTGACAGCTTTGGAATCGTCCATCATGGTATTAAACAATTTATCCGTCGCGCCCTGGCGCTATACGCCACGTCGCACCCTGCCTTCATACGAGCGACATGCACTCGCGCGCAAAACGTTGATTGAAATTTATAGAAACGCGTTACGGCTGCTCTCTTTAAAGCGAAATTGTTCCAAGTCACTTCGTGCCACACGTTCGGAAATGAACAATACGAGTCGATAGCAATCCGGGAGCTATATACGAATGTTCAATCGAATATTTTATAATATATTATGCTCGATCGAATAATTGTGTATAAATTTATAATATATTGAATATATTTTAAATATATAAATATATAAAAAATACAAAATCGTTCACATCCATCAAACTGTCTGATCAATTTTATCTTACGGATCGATGCATCATCAATATATAAAAAATATATATTTTAAAATATACTAAATATTTGTGAAAATATTTTATAAAATATATTATTTTTCTATATCTTCATGATACATCGAGATTGATAGAATAAGACTGATCAGACAATAGTTTGACGAATGTGAGCGATTTTTTTGGGGGAGCTAGGAAATATTCTTTCTTCCAGATTTCATATGTCCGATATGTGATCGATATCCGAGATTTCCAATCGCGTTAAATATTGATGTATTATATATGAATGGGGCGTTTGCTATATCGAATATCGTTTGTTTCGAACATCAGCCAGATCTTAGCAGCGGCAATTTACGGTAAGCTACCGCAGCACGTTTCTTCTCCCTCGGGATATATCTCCCTCTCTTTACTTCTCGGGGGTGAATCCGGCGCGTTTAAAGAGCGATGAAGCGAGCTTTCGAGCACGGATTTACTTTTCTACTAGACTAGACGATGCCTATTTTCAAGGAAAAGTCGGGAGGCAGATGCCGCGACGTAGGCGAGAATGTATGCGGACGGGTGTTATATATGAAAAATTAAAATACATCCCGCGGATGTATTTACCGCCACGAAAATCGCGAACTTGCGGCGTGGATAAGCATCGCTCGTTGAGAGAATATATATTTTCCCCCTTGCAATATTTCGAGCGTTTATGAAAATGAATTCTTACGAGATACATTTTCACATTTTCGCAACTTCGTACTTCCATCTTTAATCCCTGTTGCGTATGTTGTCAAACTAAATGGTAAAAGAGGTGATTTCTGATGAAAAAGAGCTAGAGAAAAATAGAGAATAACTTTTTTTTGACACATCGCTTTTCTTTTCCACAGAATTATATAGTTCTGGAAATTGCAAAGTTTATAATACTTTTGCATTTATTTTCGACGACCCGGTAAAACATTTTTTATATATAGTTATATATAAATAATTGTATAATTATATATATAATAAAAATTATATGTGAAATATGTCCATTTTTATACATAATTATATAAATTTATATATAAATTATAAGGGTTCATATATAATAATGTCAAATTATATATGAAGAAATACTTATTTATTATATATATCAATTTATATAATAATATATAAAAAAGCACTTTTATCTAATTATGTATACATATTTCATATATAATTTTGCGATTATATGCATAATTTTACATATTTCTTTATAATTTTATATTGTTGTATATAAAAAATTTTTACCAGTGATATTGTATCATATAAATTAAATTCACTTTAACAATGGCTGACACAATAAACTCAATATTTTATTTATTGTAAATATAAAATCGTTATTACATTTTCATTTTATATATAGAATAATATAATTTACTTTACCTTTTTTTGCGATAAAACACAAAATATGATGCTCTTTTTATTAATATATTAATAATTGTTATCAAAATTTGTGTAATAATATGAAAAAAATTTTATTCTACATTTTTTTTCATAGAAAATTATTATACTCTTTTCGACTATATTTACTTGTATTCTCTATAAGTTCCATCTCTCTTATATAATCGAAATATATATTGTTAATAAATATATAAGTCGCGCAATTTCTCCAATTTTTATTTTATATATATGAATAATAATATGAAAAAAATTTTATTCTACATTTTTTTTCATAGAAAAAATTATTATACTTTTTTCGACTATATTTACTTGTATTCTCTATAAGTTCCATCTCTCTTATATAATCGAAATATATATTGTTAATAAATATATAAGTCGCGCAATTTCTCCAATTTTTATTTATATATATATATATGTCGCGATATATATTAACGCGTATAAAGAAACGCGGAAAAAGAAAAGAGAGTAACTCACCGAGTTAATGTAGTTGATGAGAGACAATCCTCCGTCCCAGGGGTGCTCGAGCTCGCAGGAAATATTGGCGGGCCTTAGAGCATGGGATTGCTCCAGGGTACGTAATCCCACCGCGAACACCTGTACACTGTCGTACATCAACGCTGGTTCGGCCTGGAAAAGATATGATTATATACTTGATACTCGTCTATATGATAACGCAGAGCGCGTGCCGCTTTCAAGAGATATCAGAATATACCCTAAAAAAAATTGTTAAATTAACAAATATTTAGTTCAACACTGTCAAATGAATCATTTATTTGAAACAAATAAATATTTATTTGTTTTAAAAAGAATTTTCTTATGTCAAATAAATATTTTTCATATCAAATCAATATTATTAGTTTCAAATAAATGATTTGCTTGACAGTAGTGAAATAAATACTTATAAGAATTAACTAAATTTTTTTCAGTATATTTCTGACAGTGTTATTAAACTTTCAAGATGACTGTCAAATGAATCATTTTGAAACAAATAAATATTTCATTTTCTTATGTCAAATAAATATTTTTCATATCAAATCAATATTATTAGTTTCAAATAAATGATTTGCTTGACAGTTGAAATAAATACTTATAAGAATTAACTAAATTTTTTTCAGTATATTTCTGACAGTGTTATTAAATTTCAAGATGACTGTCAAATGAATCATTTATTTGAAACAAATAAATATTTTTTTCTTATGTCAAATAAATATTTTTCATATCAAATCAATATTATTAGTTTCAAATTGCTTGACAGTAGTGAAATAAATACTTATAAGAATTAACTAAATTTTTTTCAGTATATTTCTGACAGTGTTATTAAACTTTCAAGATGACTGTCAAATGAATCATTTATTTGAAACAAATAAATATTTCTTTGTTTTGAAAAGGATTTTCTTATGTCAAATAAATATTTTTCATATCAAATCAATATTATTAGTTTCAAATAAATGATTTGCTTGACAGTAGTGAAATAAATACTTATAAGAATTAACTAAATTTTTTTCAGTATATTTCTGACAGTGTTATTAAATTTCAAGATGACTGTCAAATGAATCATTTATTTGAAACAAATAAATATTTCTTTGTTTTGAAAAGGATTTTCTTATGTCAAAAATAAATATTTTTCATATCAAATCAATATTATTAGTTTCAAATAAATGATTTGCTTGACAGTAGTGAAATAAATACTTATAAGAATTAACTAAATTTTTTTCAGTATATTTCTGACAGTGTTATTAAACTTTCAAGATGACTGTCAAATGAATCATTTATTTGAAACAAATAAATATTTCTTTGTTTTGAAAAGGATTTTCTTATGTCAAAATAAATATTTTTCATATCAAATCAATATTATTAGTTTCAAATAAATGATTTGCTTGACAGTAGTGAAATAAATACTTATAAGAATTAACTAAATTTTTTCAGTATATTTCTGACAGTGTTATTAAACTTTCAAGATGACTGTCAAATGAATCATTTATTTGAAACAAATAAATATTTCTTTGTTTTGAAAAGGATTTTCTTATGTCAAAAATAAATATTTTTCATATCAAATCAATATTATTAGTTTCAAATAAATGATTTGCTTGACAGTAGTGAAATAAATACTTATAAGAATTAACTAAATTTTTTTCAGTATATTTCTGACAGTGTTATTAAACTTTCAAGATGACTGTCAAATGAATCATTTATTTGAAACAAATAAATATTTCTTTGTTTTAAAAAGAATTTTCTTATGTCAAAAATAAATATTTTTCATATCAAATCAATATTACTAGTTTCAAATAAATGATTTGCTTGACAGTAGTGAAATAAATACTTATAAGAATGAACTAAATTTTTTTCAGTATATTTCTGACAGTGTTATCAAACTTTCAAGATGACATTCAGATCGCCTCGCTTTATTAAATTTTCAAAACGATCTATAATTATCACCTTAGCGCGCGCGACTAAGATATGATGTATAATTCACCAGGATGATATATAATCACCCCGTAAAATCGATGAATGGGAGAGAAATCATTTTGCGAAAGCATTTGACTCAATAAGGCGCATTTATAACGGGAAGGCGCAAAATTACGATCATTAAAACAGGACTATTGATTACGGTAAATTGGTGGAGTTTTGAATGAATCCGGAGAGAGAGAAATGCGCGAGAGGATTCTCGAGAAGAAGCGAATTGTCGCGAATTACATATTATTAAAATAGTGTGTGAGAGAGAGAGAGAACGCGCGCGGGTAACGAAATGCTCCGGTTATTAATTATAACGCTGTTAGTCGCGCGTGTGCGTTTATTTCCGTGAATTATGAAATTCACGGTACGCTGCCGCATCGAAGTTGCCGCGCCGGTTCTAATCCACTCATCTCGTCGTCGCATTTCTCGACGGAAACGTCGGCGGAAAATGTAATATTCAGCGCGAGAATACTAGAGACAGATTTGATAGTGACGTTGCGTGAAATAATTTCGTTCACACGCTATTTATTTCTCCCGTCCCATCCCGAGAGCGCGTCGACACTCGTTGTGATTTTCTTATTGCATTTTGGATTTCATTATTATTATGTGTATATGTCAAATTATACGCCGGTCGAAGCGATTTCAGCAAAACGATAAAATATTCCGCCAATTTTCCCCTTTTTATTTATTTTTACGTAAAAAAATAAGAAGAAAAAAAACAGTGATAATTCTTATGTTCATATATTTTGCATTTTTTTTTTTTTTTTTTTTTTTTTCATAAAAAATGGTATCGAAATTTTGCATGATTTAATAGTACGTCGACAAATATATTATATATATTTTTATAAATGCAAAAATGTATTTCAATATTGATTTTAGTCTTCGCTAGATATTAAATTGATGTAGTAAAAGATTACATTTTATTTCATGTTATAATGTAAATAACGTTAACTGATGGATATTCGCTTAAAAATGAATGAGTGAACGATCTCGATGCACGTCAACGTAATTAAAACATTCTCACTTGAACTGCTAAATCATTCAAATAACTATAGAATTATTCAAACAACTATAGAACTGACGTATTCATCAATCATCGATTTGCAGTTGTCAAAAAATTACTCTAACAATACTCATTATAAAATAGAACAAAAGAAGATTTTAAGAGTACAACGAGACTATTTAAGGTTTCTGACAACTGAGATGAAATACTGTTGTTTTGTAAGATAAAAGAAAATGATAGAGAAAATGCATTTCATTTCAGCAGTGCTGAAGATAAACACTTTTGCAGATGCATTTGCTCGATGCATTTTTTTAAAGATGCGACTATACTGTTTTTCGTAGATCGATTCTTTTATTATTTTGGATTATTTTATTATTTTTTTGATTATAAAGTGCGTATTAAATGAGATTATTGAAAAGTATTGACTTTTCACTTAATACTTTTATGCGCGGAATAACGAAAGAAATCAATGTGTGCTAAAAATATAGCTGCATCCAAAAAATGCAATTGAAACTGACAGGCGATGCATTGATGCATCTGTAACAAGAGTGCGACATATTTTCCCCTTCAGTTACAAGAAACACGTACCAGTCCGAACTGTCAGAATCATCCTATATACGCGGATCATTATTTTCCGGAAGGGTATATATATATATATATATATATATACAGGGTGTTCGGTAACTAACAGACCAACGATTACAAATGGATTCTTTGGTCAATTTGGGAACGATTTTTCCTCAGCGAAAATGTCGAAAAAGGTCATCATTTTTTACAACTTTCCAATATTTGTCATTACGTATCTTTATAACTAAGTTTCAAATTAAAATTTTATTATAGTAAGCTCTACCTGAAATTAACTGAAGAATGTAATTATGTTAGACTTTTAACTCCAAAACGTTTAGTTTTCAACAAACCCATTTTTTTCAATCGCTTATAACTCGAAAATTATTGACTTCTCAACATTTTTGCTAAGGAAAAATCGTCTCCAAATTGGCCAGAGAATCCGCCCTTAATCATTGGTCCGTTAGTTACCGGACACCCTATATATATATATATATATATATATATATCTTTAGTAGTGGATGTTTTCTCTCCTGAATCGAGAGTACCCGGGGAAAAATTTTTTATATGTAACAATATAAAATTATATAGAAATATATAAAATTATACATATAATCGCAAAATAATATATAAAATATGTCCATACATAATTAGATAAAAGTGTTGTTTATATATAATTATATAAATTTATATATATATAAATATATATGAATCCTTATAATTTATATATAAATTTATATAATTATGTATAAAAATGGATATATTTCACATATAATTTTTTTCCGATTATATGTATAATTATACAATTATTTATATATAATATATATAAAAAATTGTTTCTCGGGCTGTATACGCGGATTATTATTTTCCGGGGGGTATATATACATCTTTAGTGAATGTTTTCTCTGCTGAATCGAGAGAAAGACGCGCGAGAGAGGGCGATGGTCGGTCACGTCGCGAATTGATTTCGCTCGTATTTCAGAATCGCGAAACGATGCTAAGCACGACGCGACCCGCGTTCCGTCCCGCGGCCGCTTCCCGTCTCTTCATTTCCTTCCTATCCGTTCCTTCGGCGTCTTCTTCGCGCTGCGTCTGATGGAAGGCACGTATTTGAGGCGGACAAACACGCGGAAGCATCCAGGAAACGACCGGAGTCCGTGCTTAGTCTTACACATTCCTCTCTCTCTCTCTCGGCTGCCGCTTTCCTACTCTGCCCTGCGAGTAGTTTGTGGAGCTTTAATGTTTGTCCTGGGGCTAAAGTGTGCGACGTGTCTCCGCACCTTTCCGCTGATTCAATATTGCGTTTCCGTTGACAGCGCGCGAATTTCGTTAGCGCGACTAATCAACTTTTCCGACGCGATTCTAACCAGTTTCATGCTTGCCCTTTCTTCCTTTTCTCTCTTAAGGGAATGCTAACCACGACTGTTTTACCGACTTTGAGTTCAAGGGCTTTTCTTTTTATTGGCTATACCGATTGAAAGATTCTTCTCCACAATTAAAGTACTGATAATAATGAACGGCGAGCGCTGTAATTTCGTATAAGAAAACAATAAAAGTTAAAAAATTACAATTTTTTATCGGCCTCTTGCATCAGCTCGTAACAATA